TGTGTGTGTGTGTGTGTGTGTGTGTGTGTGTGTGTGTGTGTGTGTGTCTGTGTGTTACTTTTCTTTTTTGATCTGTGCATGGCTCTTTTTCCATTCATCACCCTTTTGTTTCAAGATAGTTTCAAGGTGCTGCTTCTCTGCATTTAGTTTGATTTGTAGCATGTTGTCTTGAATAACTAACCAACTGTCATCATGATAACCACCCAGATAATTCAGAATGACCTCACATAGCTAGAACACCACTAACACACTGACATTTTACCCAGAAGCGTTTGAGTTTATTAAGATAGATGTAAACTTGATCTCTTGCTGCTGAAGCAGATGAGATGGGATGTTGTGAGAAATGTATAATCCTGCGTTCACCATGGCTTGATTAACAAACACACACTCATTCTGTTACCTCGTCTCCTTCTCTGCAGAGCCAGCTGACAACAGTGTTGAGTAATCCGTCAGAATATGGAGCTCATGGCAGAGTTCTTATAACTTTAAACATTTAAAATATGCTTTAAAAGCTGTCATTCTTTAGATAGATCATTTTGAGTTAAGGAATTCAGCTCGGAGTATTTGGGGGTGGGTTCTTTACAATCTCTAAGGGTGTCCATAAAGCAGAGTGGGTGGTGCTCTTTGAATTAAAATGACCCTTTTCTTGTGTTGTGCTTCAATTTTAGTCCCAGGAGGAAGTGTGTGACCTGCTTCATGCCGCCCCCTTCCAGAACATTCTGCCCAGAGTCTACATCAAAGGTATGCAAAAGGGTTGCAACCACTAAATGCAAGGAAGATGGGTAAAAAAACAATATATTACTTGTCCTATCGCTGCCTGCCCGTTGATTTATCTGTCATATTTGTACAGCGTCTACATGTCCGTCCTTGTGTTTGTGTGTTCTATAGAGGGAGAGCGTCTGGAGGTGAGGATGAAAAGGCTGGAAGCCAAGTACGCCCCTCTCCACCTTGTGCCTCTAATTGAGAGGTTGGGAACCCCACAGGTGAGTTCACCATCACTCTGTCTTTAAGAAGGCAGACAAGACGTGATCCTTTATTTCTCCCAATTATTTATAGATATTTTGTGTCATTACCCGATGAACTGTGCCTCCTCTTAAAATGTCACTTCTAACGCTGATAGTAAGTATCACGGCTGTTTCTTTTCACCAGCAAATCGCCATTGCCCGTGAGGGGGACCTGCTGACCAAAGAGCGTCTGTGCTGCGGCCTTTCCATGTTCGAGGTCATCCTGACGCGCATCCGCAGCTTCTTGCAGGACGGGGTGTGGCGCGGGCCTCCGCCCACCAACGGCGTGATGCACGTCGACGAGTGTATGGAGTTCCACCGCCTGTGGAGCGCCATGCAGTTTGTCTACTGCATCCCTGTGGGCACGCACGAGTTCACAGCGGAGTAAGTGGCACCTGGCTGGTTTGTGTACTAGGACTGCATTTGGAGTTTTTTTTTTTTTTTTGTTGTTGTCTTTTTCAGACCACATCTGCAGCCAAACATGATGCATGTTGGTTTGTCAATATGGAATACAATTAGTCTTTGTAAATAAATAGACTTTATTGTAGTTTAATTTTTATTCAGTAAAAATGGCAGAAATCTGGCAGAAAACAAAAAAAAGAATTCCATTGGAAAAGTTTTTACTCTTACCTTTGGTGTAAAAGTTGACATGTAAAGAAAGAGAAGATGTCGTGAAGCTTAAGGGAAACTTTTTCAGTCCACCTTGATGTTCCTCCTGCTCCTTCTGCCGTAGGCAAAGCATTCATCATGCTGCCACTTATGACATGGCTCTACTTCAGAAAGAGGAAAAAGGAGTGAAGTTACATTTTTGTTCACATTGTCAACCCTTTCCCCTTTCACCATCAGCAGCTTATAAAAACGGAAGGTAGACTTCAGAAGAAATGAGACACTGTTGCACAGTTAATATTGTCACAACTTCTCAACTAAAGTGTATTTGATTTTGCGGACACTTCTTAAATCTGTCAGTTGCCTCGCTTTAATGGGAAAACAACTCGTGTGTTTTTTTACGTGCCTTGCTTATCAGGCAGTGCTTCGGCGACGGGCTGAACTGGGCCGGCTGTGCCATCATTGTGCTGTTGGGACAGCAGCGTCGTTTTGACCTCTTTGACTTCTGCTACCATCTGCTCAAAGTCCAAAGACAGGACGGCAAGGATGAGATCATCAAGAATGTGGTGGGTGAACTTTTAACCGCTACATTTACTCACACCGCTTAATATTGTCCGACTTATTCCTTTTTCTGTCGTTTTTTTTCTTTTTCTTCTTCTTGACAGCCCCTGAAGAAGATGGCCGACCGCATTAGGAAGTACCAGATCCTCAACAATGAGATCTTTGCCATCCTCAACAAGTACATGAAGGCGGTGGAGACGGACAGTTCCACTGTGGAGCACGTTCGCTGTTTCCAGCCTCCTATACACCAATCCCTGGCTACCACCTGTTGAAATACACCCTTCACACACACGCACACACACACAAAACACATAGCTGTGAGTCAAATTTCTGCCTCTCCCTGGGCTTGTAGAGGTGTAGATTACCACGATGGCTCCACACTGGCTTTAAGAATCCAAAGACAGATCCTCTCAAACTGTTCCTCTATCTAAAATGTGGCTGTCTTTGAATCCTTGAAGCATTAACCCTTAGAAGTGGACCAGGCCAGAGGCGGAAGTGTATATTCACACCTTTTTCTTTTTTATTTCACTATCTGTGTGGCTCTCACTCAGACTCATGCATGCCTCCTCTTATTCCTTCTACTGCACACCTGTGGATCGGACCACTGACACAAATGCCAAAACTGTATCACCATCATATGATCCGAAGCCACTTGTCCCGGCCGCTGGGACTCATAAAGGCCTTTACGAATTTCCAATCAAGAGCTGAGACAATAGTAAATCTAATAATGTTTAAATAAAAGACTAAATAATGCGAGAAAATAGCAAATTTTCTAAGTTATATAAAGATCTTTTAACATGGTGCTCTTCAGTGCTTCTACAGCTACTAATCGTACTAACGCAGGCATCAGTACGCCCTGTGCTACCATTACGCGTGTCCTCTATTACGACCCAAACCTGTTTATCGTGATATATTGCGAACTCTTCACTCATTGGTATGATAATCGGGTCTGCCCTTGTTCATGGTCCACAGTGTCTATCACCATGATGCATTTAAATCCTTCTTCACCCGCTTGCTTTCAAAGGAATGAAGCTACATCGCATTCTTGATTTGCTTTTATTTATCTCCCCCCCCACAGCTGTTTTTTTTGTTTTCTTTGCTTCCTCCTGACACATTTTAATTCTGTACAAGTTCCGCTGTAAATTTCACTGTTGAACTAAGTGAAGTGTTGAGTGTTGTAATTGTTTTTGTTTTTAATTATTAATATTTTAATTTACACATCCATGGTATACTTGCCTCTCTACTACTGGCTGGAAACCTCATCGACTGTATTTTCTTTTCTCTCTTTTGTCTGTTGGAAAGATTTTTTATATTCTGTACATGAATACAGTGGTATTATTTACAATATAGGAAAGACACCTCATCTGGGTAAATGTGTTGACTTTTTCAAGAGCGAAAAAAAACGAAAGATTAGAAAATACCTCTAGGTTGTATAAAGACAGTGCTGTACTAGCTTAACCTGTTCTGAGTGTGAATGGATGATGTTGGTCTAGCAGACCTATTAAATACTCTGCACATAAAGGAAAACAACATAACTAAAATGTCAGTTATAATTAAAGGGCAGTTTATTAAATAAAGTCAGTATTTACTATTGTTAGACTTTTGCGTTAGATTTAGCAGTGTCATCAAAACATGCTAAATTTGTCCCTATTTTGTTTTTTTTTTTTTTTCATATGAAGGAAAAGCAAACTAATTATTAAGAAGCAACCCTCCACAAACTGCCCTGTGGTCTTTTTTCTGCTCTGTTTTGAATGAACAAACTTTCTTTTGTAACTCGAGTGTCTTTTTATCATATTTATTCAACTCCGACGTATTGTTCATTTAAAGGTTAATCTAGTTAAAATGAAGGTACCAATGTATCATCTCAAAACCTTAGCATGGCAAGTGTAATTTATTGTCATCAATGGCTCCATTTGTGACATGAGGCTTTGTTTATGATATTGTTGTACAAGTGACCATGTTTTCAAGTACAAAAAAGTGGAGAAAAAGAATATAAAGTGTACAACAATGGTCCTGCAAAGGATTTGGAATTATGTTGTATTTCCATGAAATAAAAAAATGTTTAACTGAAAAATGGAAGTTGTATTTGCTTTTCAAAGGGTTTTACTTTTCAGTGCTCCCCACTCAGTATCCAAGCAGTATAATGACAATTCGACATTTGAGCACAAGAAATATTTTGTTTTTTAGAAACGTATGCTGCTATGGTATGAAACCCACTTAATGTGAGCTGGGAAGGCTCAACCCCCCCACCCCCTGCAGGATAAGCGTTATGGATAATAATGATTGGATGGATAGTATAAATACTAATACTTTATAACGTATTAGACGGTTTAGATGGGAATCATGGGATAGAAGTAGGTGCTTTACTTCTTGCGAGCAACGGGACTGATGGTGAAAGTTTATTACATAGAAATGGACTGAAACCGGAAGATGGCAGTAATGCAACAAAAAGGATGCAAGCTGCCGTTAAACACCACAGAAGAAGAAGAAGAAGATGGGCGGGACAGCGTCATCCAGGACTGGCTGCCTATTGGCCACACGCACGTAAACGTACGTGTATGACGTTATTTTGAAATTTCAGCGGTCGAGCTGTTGTATGTGTCACTGGCAGCTGCACTGCAGCCTCGTCGATACGGTTTTGAAATTCAAAAATAGTTACATACGGTGGATTAAAAATGTCTTTTTCAAGAGCCCCTTTGAAAAGGTTCAACGAGAACATGGGTAAGTGACGTTCAAAAGCCACAGTAGCTAGTAGCATGTTGGCAAGTTATCCTCTCAAGTTATTCAACGGTTACGTTAGCTTTTAAGTAGTTAGCTCATATGCGTACAGTTAGGTAATGTTAAGGTAACATTAACTGCTAAGGAGAAGTTAACTAGTTGCACTCAAAGTGAATGGAACCAAGTAAAACAAAGCAAGCTAACGTATGTTAGATGGCTAAACCAACAAAGAAGTAACTTTGTGTCTAACCTGGCTAATGTTGTGCATTTGGCCGAAGGTTGTGCTCCTGCTCCGGGGTCCTATGAGGTCAAACCTGAGGACCTGAAGGGAGCAGCTTCCTTCAACAAATCTGATCGATTCAGAATTGTTAAGGCAGGTGGGTGATAAGCGTGATAAGCAAAATGCAACAATGAAAGAATACTTTGAACGTTGGCTAAAACATAACGTTTTCTGCCATCCATTTTCATCATCTGCATCTCCAGCCGCTATGCCACCACCATCGCCCTCCAGAAGTGTCCTAATGTCACCTGTCCGCAGGACGATGTCTGTTGATGGTCTTGTAAGTTGTCTTTTACATCAGCACGTAACGCTAACAACTATTCCACTTACATGGCTCCTCAGTAACCGATCAGCCATTTCAAAATGTGCTCCTGTCAAAAAAAGTAACCCACTTAATTAATTAATGTCTTTTGAAATCCTAGGTTGAAGGTTCAAGTGTAAAGAAGGATAAGAATGCCATGACCATGGAAAGGAAGCAGCACATGCTCCTAGAGAGAGAGGTAGCTGCAGTTCGTCAAAGGAACATTTGTGCTGACAATAATGTTGTGTTTTCTGCTGTCAGTGGCTTTTGTCCATAACTGAGCAAACGGTAAATCAACAGATGTGACTGCAGATGTGGAAAATGTCATGACCGTAGCTTTGTTTCCTTCCAGATGAGGTCACTGGTTCAGCAGCGAGGGGAGCAGGACCGTCGCTTGTTGACTCTAGAAGAGGATCTGAAGAAGGTGGAGGCCAAGCTGCTGGCTGCAGTCAGGGAGAAGACGGGCCTCTCTGCCAATGTCACCACTCTGGACAGACAGCTGGTAGAGCTCAAGAAGGTCAACGAGTTCCTAAAAAACAAGGTGTGCTTGGTTTTGATGTACATTTTTTTTGTATATTTACAAATCCTGTCTTGATTACGCCTTGATGAGTGTCTTAGCTGCTAAAAAGTTTTAAGTGTGTAAAAAGCATGTGTTTAAAAAAAAAAAATTTTAAGGTTTCTGCTGACACTACAAAAAAGAGAATCAATGCTCTCACGATGGACTTGATGGAGGCCAGGAACACTTTGGATGTTAAAAACAAGGTATGACTTGTGTGCACATACGTCCCTTGTTAATAACAAATAAAAACTCAATTAAAGCTAATCTCATTTTCAGCTGCAGTGGATACTTATGTATAGTGTGTGTGTGTGTGTGTGTGTATGTGTGTGTATGTGTGTTTGTCTGTCCAGGAGTTGAACGTCCTGCAGATTAACACTGAAGGCCAAGCTAATGTGCTAGACTCTGACCTGCAAGCTGCCAGGGCTACTGTCACTGCTCTGAAAAACAGGAATAAAGACTTGGGTAAGCTTGAACAGCACCAGATAGTGCTACTAGCAATACAAGCATGCTTGCATATATAGAGGAATAAAAGCAGATGAAGTAACCAGGGCTGTACTGTGATTTCTACCTTTTTACAGAGAACCTTCATCAAGTGACCAAAACTCTGAACAAAGAGCTGGAGAATGAGAATGCTAGATTGCATGGTGAGTTCTGTGTGTATGGCCTACTCTTTTTCTCTTCGTTTACCCATAGCAGGTTACAGGTAACAGTGTTCCTGTGTGTGCATGTGCGTTTGTGCCTGCTTCCTTATCCTATAACTAATAATTCTGTGTTATTTTCCAGCTGTTATACAGGAGCTGAGGGAGGAGGTCCGAGTTGTGCAGGGATACCTCGACGAAGCCAATGATCAGATCCAGGTATAAACTCTGCCCATAGAACATATAGAACAATTCGTACAAAAGTGGACATCTTTACATCATTGTTTCTAAAAAAAAAAAAAAAAAAAAGGCATGCTTTACCTCTCTGTGTGCTTATAGGATCTCCGTTTGAAGCTCCGAGAGAAGACCCAGGAGAACACTGTTGCTGGTTCTCAGTTGGAGAAAGTGACGTAAGCAAATGCCTCATGGTTCCTCCAAGCAGGTTAGATCTGCACTTTATACCATGACACTCATTTTCCACTTTTCCACAGGCAACTGGAGACTGACCTGGACCAGCGCACTGCTGAGATAGAAACCACCCAAGGTGTGTTAAGGCAAAAAGAGAAGGAGGCACAGAAATTCCAGCAAGCGCTGCAGGCGTCAAAGGATGCTTTAGTGGAGGTGGAGAAGAGGTTGGAGACCCAAGAGCTGGAGCTGAAATATTCACAAAGGTCAGTGAGGGACATGGAGGAGCAAATGGAGTCGGCCAACCAAAAAGTTCAGGATTCCCAAGCGACGGTTCGACAGCAGGAGGCAGAGCTCACTAGACTGAGAGAGGTGCTCAGAAGGACAGAGAAGGAGCTGGACGAGCGAGTGGCACATCTGGAACAGAGGTGTCTGTTCTCTGAGGAAGAGAGAAGTATGTTCACCAAGATCCATTGACGATGATAACTTAAGTTGCAAAAATATATAAACGGTTATGTGACGCATATATTGTTTGTTTCTTTAAGGCAGGACTCGGGAGGAGGGAATGAGGAGAGTGGAGGAGTTGAAAACAGAGCTCCTCTTGCTAACGGAAGCTAAAAAAGATGAGAAAAATACTCAGATTCAACTCCAGCAAGAACATGCTGCTCTTACTGAAGAACTGACAAAAGAAAAGGTGACAGAATCTTTTTTTTTTTTTTTTTTTGTCTCACAATGGTGCTTTCTTTTTAGATTCAGTGCCAGATCACCTGAGCTGCGACTGACTCTTTCTTCTTTCCTACAGGCACTTGTGGACGCCCTGTCTGTGCTGGTGGAGCAGGAGCGGGAGGAGGCAGAGGAGCGGCTGAGACTACTCAAGGAGGAGATGGAGGAGGTGCTGGGAGAGCTCGCTCTCCTGGAGGACCAGGAGCAGACGTGGCAGGAGGAGGCGGAGAGGAATCAGGAGTCCCTTCAGAGGCTGCAGGAGGAATACAACGAGCTGGAGGGACAGCTGAGTGATGCCAGGGCACTGTTGGACAGGTGAGCAGCCAAAGGCCACGCATACCGATGAGATGTGTTGACAGAAAACGTATTACGGTGACGTCTGGAAGTCATGCTTGCATTAACGACGTACTCCTCGCTGCACTTGCAAAAACAAAACCTTTGTTTTTTGGAGTTGTTGCCACTGCCTGCTCGCTACTATTTAGAGTCGGCGGCAGCTGGGAGCGTGTCCCGGCATTCCACTGAGCATAAAGTAAAGGAAAATAATTGACAGGTTGCCGAACCATCACAGCTCTGACACGGAGAGTGGGTCACTATCTATTTTTGTGTAAGCCCAATTTCAATGATTGCAAGTAACCCCACAACCTCATCTTTGGGGATCTGAGGGGAAGCAGGGCACCAGTTGGAGGAAATCTTTATTTATTTTGATCAGAAAGTTGAGAGTAGAGACGGATACAATAGTAGGAATGATGCGCAACAAACAACCGAGACTGGCCGCGTTTCTATGTGCACCTTACAACTAGACTGCAGCTCAAATATTACATTTGATTACTTTTCAAATAAATGTTTAAAGTGGGTAATAACGCTGGACAGTCCTTAATACATACATTGAAACCAGGCGGTGTTCATTACTCAACACGATTACTGACAAACATTCATTAAAGCTTTTCGATATAGCTTGACTTTAGATTGGATAACATAATCATGTCACATTCTACATACAAACATTTTGATTAGTAACTAATTCAATTGCACAAGTTTTCTCTGTTTACTGATTTACAATTATATTTATTTTGTAATTCATTAATGTAATTCTGTTACATGTAAGGAGTTACTCCCCAGCACTGAACATGACAACTAAAGCAGCAAATTGCCAGATTTGAGAAGCTGGGAACCGGTTAACGTTTGGTATTTTGCAGTGTAAAATTTCCTAAATGGTTTATTGATGACCAAAGTCATTTTTTTTTTTTTCTCTCGATTGACTGTTTGGTATATCAGCTAAATGTATGAGCTCTACTGCATTGATGGGAGACTTTCAGATATTCTCTTGATTCATTGACAGGACCAATATTTCAGAATTCTTTATTATTTAAGGTACATTTCCACAAGCATAAGACGTCTGTCATATTTAGAAAAGACCAAAATAAAAGATGTAACTGGTTTCTCTGATCGATGATTGTATCAGTAAAGTCAAGAGACCTACCACCTATAAACACACCAAAACTGTGTGCTCATCATTTTTAGTAAGAGCAACGATGTGGCCGCTTCGAAAGAGGAGCATTCATCCGCCATGACGGAACTCCAAGAGGCCCACACAGACTCGCTGAGCAAGATGGGAGACATTGTCACGGAGCTGAAAAGGTGAGCGCGCTCCGGTTGTCAGTATTCCTGGAATGCGAGTTGGATTCGTGTTGAGGTTAAATTTCAGTCAACGTGTAGTCTCTCACACTCTGCTCCTCTTACTTTTCAGCGCCAGAGAGGCTCTGCAGGGAGCAGAGGGGAGACAGAAAGAACTGGAAGCAGAGATGGACAGAGTGACGCAACAGATGAAGGAGGAGATGGAGAAAATCGTTCAACAGAAAGAGGAGGAGGTCAACCGAGTGAAGGAGGGCTTGGAGGAGCACCAGGAGAGACAGTTAGCTGAGGCAAAAGCCAGGGAGGAGAATTCAAGGTACGCTTCGAAATCCCTGAGTCTACTTTGAAATAACTGTCACTTTTCCGTCTTCTTTTTTTTTTATATATTCCCTTTTCTCCTTGACTTGATAGAAAGTTGCTGGAGGTGCAGACTCTCCTTACACAAAAAGATGAGGAGATAAAGGCCATGGGGACGAGCCACGCCGCCCTGATCGATCAGCTACAGCTGCAGACAAAAGAGAGAGAAGAGGCATGGGGGCACCTAGAGGAGCAGAGAAGTCTGCTCCAAAGTGAGAAGGAAAAGGCCCAGGAACTGCTAGAGGAGGTCAACCAGCAAAAAGGGGAAATAATGGAACAGCTCCAACAAGAAAGAGAAGAGAAAGTTAAAGTCCAGACAGCCCTTCAGGAGGAAAGGGGAGCATTGGAGGTCGAAAGAGAAGACCTCCAGCAGGTCAGGTCTGAGGTGGTCCGTCTACAGATCGAGCTTGAGCGAGTAGACGAGGAAAGGAAGAGTCTTCTGTCTCAAGTAGAGCTCACGGACCGGTCCAGGCTTGCTCTTGAACATCAACTAAACATGGCAGAGCAGGATAGAAACCGGCCTCGCCCGGATGAGGTTGAACAAGCGGGTTTGATCTTCCGGGCCCAATTAGACCTCATGGAGGAGAAGACACAGACTCTGCACCGCGAGTTGGAAGAGCTGAGACAAGATGGATGTGCTCAGCAGGAGCAGGTGGAGTTGCTGACTCAGGAGAAGGTCACGCTGCAGTGGGATTTGGAGGAGCAGCGGCAGGAACTTCAAAGACAAATAGATGAAGCGCAGGAGAAAAGGTGAACATTGGATTGGATTCTTGAGTTATGAGTCTTTTTTTTTTTTTTTTTTTTTTAACAATGAGCACATTTTAACTCCTCATTCCTTTCCTCTAAGCTCCCAAGTTTCAGAGAGTGAACACTGGAGGAAACAATATGAGGAGCTGTTTGTGAAGGTCAGGCCCTTTCAGGTCAGTAATTTCCACACCGGGTCAAATATGACATGTCAGTATAGCCCAAACTATGTGTAATGTGAAAGGTGTTTGTTGTGATGCAACCACAGATATTTATCACTCATCTCTGTAGCTTTTAGTGTCTTTTAGCACCGTTTTAATTCAGTTTCAACCTTGTTTCCAGCTGTATGTAGGTGTTGTTATAACACCTCGTTGCAGAGTTAAAGCCCTCTCAATGTTCACGCGGTTGTGCGCCCACAGGAGCAGCTCAATGCGTTTGCAGCCGAGCGAAATGCACTCGTCAATGAAAACGGAGCGAACCAGGAGGAGTTGAACAAGTTGTCCGATGCCTATGCCCGTCTGCTGGGCCACCAGAACCAGAAGCAGAAGATCAAACATGTGATAAAGCTGAAAGATGAGAATGTCAGCCTAAAACAGGTGATGCATGAGAACGGCACCGACTGCTCTCCAAAGCCACATCGTGCACGTTTTGTCTCGCTCTCATGCGCCGGTCCTTCATCCCCTCTTTGTGTCTGTGTAGGAGGTGTCTAAGCTTCAGTCCCAGGTGAGCCGGCAGAAGAGAGATCTGGAGCAGCTGAAGTCGAAGCGCCCCGGTAGTCCTCGTCGTCGGTTTGATCCCAGCAAAGCTTTCCATCACGACAAGGAGAACCGGCGAACAGAAACCCTTAAAGAAGGTGCGTACTGAACTGCAACACAATGAAAGCATATAGAGGTAGAGCTTCGGAGATATGTGATGAGAACAGTTACGTGATTTTTGTTCTTTGCTTGTTTTGTCAGGAAACCATTATGCATAATGGAGCTCTTCTGCCAGACGACAACTGAAAACTAAATTACATTTCTATGGTTTTGTCTTTTTTTGTATACTTCTTATTTGTGTCAGTTTTGTTAACCGGCTTCATAATAGTTACACAGAGAGTGAGGATGTATGTTTCCGTTTACATTTTAATAATAAATGTTAGCAGCAGATTGTACGTGTGCAGGAGCAGTGTGTTAAAATAATGAGATGGATGGCTGTAAGTCTACACATATTCGAATAGGAGATACTTATAGCAAATCTTAGGGCAGCTGAGCTAGCAACTTCTTTCTAAATATTTCTTCTTTGTAAATAAAGACAACTTTTAATACACTTCCTAAACAAAAGCATTACTGAGATTTATTTTCTTCCCAAGTGTTAAAATGCTATTTTTTATTTTTAATTTGGCTCATCTCGGCCATGTCTGTCCTCGGCCATGTCTGTCCTCGGCCATGTCTGTCCTCAGCCAGTAGAGGGCACTGTAGGACTGCAGCCACAGGTTGGAGCGCAGCAAAAGGCCATTGCAACCCATGTTTCATCCACACCCGCTACAAAGAACACAACTTCACCATCTTTGTAGAGAGGAGCCTCGGGTTTTGGGTCATGAAGCTTTATTTCCTTCAGTTGATAAGACACAGCCAGCAAGTATTGGGCCAGAAATTGACCTTTTTACAAGCTAGTTGTGGAGTGACGAGCCAGTCGCACTCGCCCTCCAGGTAGTAAATGCTGCGTAACTCATGGCAGCACTGCTCCACGATGCCTCTCTTCACCTCGGGCTCTTTACGGCCGGAAGAGCCCGAACAGCTGCCGCTCCTGTCTGGCCCTTTTTTGACGTGGAGAAAGTTTCCATAGCCACGTGTTAAGAAGTCCTGCTGTTGCTATGCAAAGCTCCAGTTCATCAAACTACCATTTAAAACTCTTCACACTTTAATGGAGACTTAATGACTAGGCAATCAGATCCCCCTCATCCACTTAGTCTTGTTAGCCTCCACTTCAAGAGGAGGTATGATGGAGCTCCAACAGAGGCACATCATGGCTGACACCTGAAGTTAAATTCAAAATAGCAATACATTGTTTGAAGGGGAACATCCAAATAATGCCTTGTGATAATAATGATTTTGGGGATTTCGCAAGGTTTGTTATTGGAGATGTTAAAAGCGACTATGAAACCAAACAGCCTGAATTCAAACAAGGCCAGAGACGTGCTTTGCACACTAATGATGGTTCGGACAAATGCATAGATTAAGTTTCCGGCATGTTGTATCTTTAACATTTTTCCTCCAGCCAGGATCCAAATTGGCATTCTCATTAGACCGTCTGAACTTTGAACATGGTGGGCAGTGACTGCAGAGACGCGTAACCAGCCTGACGTGTCTGGAGCAATGTCGCACTGTTCACTCTCTGAACTCCCACTGTCAGGGGGACAATTATAACCTCATTTATACAAGTCAAACAGTTCCCACAGTTAACACGGCCCTCGCCGAGCAGATGTTCCAAACCCCGCTCGTGGGGTCGGTTTGGACTGTTGTGGAGGGTGTTCACCGGGTGGGAGACACACATGGTTTGCGGCAGCGGGGGGGGGGGGCGAGAACACCGCCGGAAAATAGAGCGCCGGCAGGAACGGCATGGACACCGCACATGGTACCCTGGCCGTAGGAGGGAGACCTCGTGGATAGAACGCATAAAGACATGTTCACATAAAATGGTACACATCTGATCAATTTTTTATTCTGCTGGATTTCAAAAGACAAATGGTAGAACTGAATCCACCCTTCAATATTTAATACCTCGAGGCCAGACGGTTGAAAGCTAAAGGGATGAAGTGATGTTTAGATTTGATCAGACCTTTCTTGATGACACCCGAGCATTACAAGTCCACTTTCTTTTAATAACTTTCGATATAGATATTTTTACGATGCTCCTGTGAAATTGTACCAGATAGCTTGAGGCTTTGAGAGTATAATAACTCTGCGATGGCGCTGAGGGCACGTATGCAACACCCCGAACTCAAATAAGAGCTTTGAAGTGAGCCGAAAACTGAACAATTCATTATTTCATTGGAAATCAAAGGCCAGGGATGAAAAGCTTCGGTGCAACAAGGTCTGCCGAAAAGTCATTAGATGATATTTGACTCAAATCTCTAAATCTGACAATTAATGTTAGCCTAAGCGGGCGATGTCAAAGATCAAGGAAAGTGATTGGTGCAAAGATTCCATCTTCATGACCTGGCTCGACTTCAAGCTGTTATTCACCGGGATGATTCTCAATTCCTGAAAATAATTGGATGGTCAACCCCAAATGTCCCAACATCAAAAAGACAACATCCAGTCATTTCCTCAAAGCGCCGCCAGAAAGAACGTCCCCCACATCATCATCATCATCATCATCACCACGGATACTGTCAGGGTGTCGGTAAGGTCACCCAACACCTTGCTCTCCAGTTTAGCAGCTAAAGTGCTCCAGAGTGGAAATGATCGGTGCCAGATTACAGACTTGTCATTAGTGTTATTAGTCAAATCCCATTTGTGATGGATACTCTCCAGAGCTGGAAGTTCAGCTCCTGTTTCAAGGTGAAAAACATATTTAGCAGTCATTTGGAAACTATATAGACCTTTTGTGGACATCTTATAGTGCACTGCAGATTATTGGATTGAAAATGAATCATTTTAACGGTGTCTTTAACAATGCACCTGTGCCAGGCATTACAGCATTGGCAGAGCGCTCTATCTGGCCCACCCGCCACACCTCTATCCCTCTTGGCTGGGTGCCAGGCTCCTTGGCACACGAGATTGGTTGAATTATAGATCCTGCCTGTGCTACTCTTTACTTTCATCCCTGGTTATTGAACACATCAATTTTAAAACTGGAGATCTTGAGGGAATACAGAGAAACTTGCTTTCACTGTGTTTGAGCCCTCGGTGCAGCAGAGCACTTGGTAGTTGGAAATGAAAAGGGCCGAAGCCCAAAGCACTAAAACAAGGTACAGAGAACATCTCCAACCTGGCCACCTTTCCCCTTTACAACTCCACCTGGGAGGTGAGAGAGAGAGCGCCGTCACCCATAACCAAACCCAATTCAACCCATGCTGTCTGGTGTCCTGAGTGGCACCGCTCCCGCGCTGACAAACACCATATGTCATGTTCTGATCACAAAGTGTAGTTTAGAGGACTTCCAGGCCTGTCAGTGACCTTAAGTGGTGAGTTTAAAGCGGAGTCAAGAGGCAACTGTGAGAAGTTATTGTCTTTATCAGTCCGTCTCTCTCTGTCTTACAGGATCTTAAAGAACAACTCCTCTGCCTTTAAGCTAGAAGTGTCAGAAAATAGAATATTAAAATTTGCAGTCTAAAATTACACTTAAATATCATTACAATGTCTATAAAAAAACTACAACAATGTTATGTTCAGTATGTTTATATGGTAAGTACATATAAATGTAATTCTCTAGTAGTTATTTAGTTGATTTTGCTTTCTATTGAAGCCTTGTTTTCCTGCATAGGTTATGACTCGCCTCCTGTCATGTTCAGCAGCTGTTCTTTTTAATTGTAGTGTGCCTACAGTATCTGAGGGTGGGCCGAATTCAGATGAGAAGTGACGCACTGTGTAATTTTATGTCAAATAATGAGTCTATTGTCAGGCCCCCGGAGGAAGCAGCACAGCCGTTGTACAATCGCCTCTCTGCTTGCGTGGTTGAATTTAACCGTTAGTATGTAGTACTGTGGTAGGTGCCAGTGTGTTGTTGTAATGTAACACCCTGTGAACGAACACAAGTATAACAAAGAGCATAATGCAAAGGAGGAAAATATCAATACTGACTGACCATATTTTTATAGGTAAACTGGAATCAGTGATGCAGGGGTACCTTCATGTTCTTTCTAATGATTTCCATTTTGGGGCATGTAAGATATTATGACATGGACATAGTGAATATTTGTAGAATTTGGGGCGTTACCATAGACAATAAAGCTCTTATTTTGTAGAGCCCTTTAATACTAAGTTGTATTGTCACACTAAAAAGAATGAATTTTATAACCTGTACAAACCAGAATTTGCTACTTTTGGGGGTTAAAAAAAAAAATCATAAAACATCTTAAAATTGAACAAAGTCTGTATCTGGTCATTGTGCATGGCGCGGTGGTAGGTATTCCATCACTCAGTGACCCTGATGGGTCAGTTCTCCAGCTGCAGGAAATAGAGGTTGCATGTTCATGAGTACAGTATCAGCTGAAACTGTCCTAGGAGCAGGAATAATTTATAAAATGTGTCGCATTCCCCTTTTAGCTGTCATTGCAGCATTGAATTCAAAAGGTGTTCGCTAGCTGCATGTTCACCTTGAAAAAGATCCTGTGGTCAATAAATCTAAGTACATTTTAATAAGAGAGTGACCTGAATAATCTTTAAAACCACTAAATCTTGAGATTGATAGAACTGTCACAATAATAGCCCCACCATCAACTCTATATTTCTTAGGTGTATTTGTGGTATTCTACATATGACATATATATATATATTTATATATCTGTGTATGTATACTGTATATATATGTATATATGCAGATCTGTCTTTGCATGCTTCAGTGTTTGTCTAAATACTGTAGATTGCTTAATCTGCCTATTATGTTTTGCTGCGTGTTGCTTTTCTGTGCATATTTCCTTGGAAGTGTTCCACACCAACATAAATGCTCAATAAATAATCTTTTACAGAAATGCCAGCAGGGGTGTACTTACATTTTTGAGAGAGATGTTTAAAAATTGGATTTCTGCTGTGCTTCTAACAGTTGCGTGTACATACCCTCTGAAAGGGGAAAAATGCAATACACTTGCATTCTGACCTCTTACTGAGATTAATATGTAATCTAATCTAGACACTACAGATATAAAAGTAAATGCAATATGAACAACATATACCAAAGCAGTTTGAATGTTGCATTCAAGTAAAGACAAGTGCTCTCAGGGTGCTGCAGGAATGAGTCCTAAAACCCAAGTAACCATTTCCTCTTGAAGTAAATAAGTCTCTTTTTGAATGTGTTTTTGTTTAGTTGTCTGAAATAAGGTCTCTGGTTAACACAACTTTAAGAGACATAAATGATTTGTTCTATGACAGTAGATAGCCTACCCCTCTCATGGATTTTTAAGCTCTTATTAAGTGTCTTTAAAAAGGCTGTTGCTAACAAGTGGTCAGATGAGACTACACAACGTCTTCACACTTTTTTTTTTGGACAGTAGTTTAGGTTACCAAGTTTACATTTGCACCAGCATATATGGTGTCCACAGTTTTTCAAAGTTGGGTAACTTTGCACAATTTGGGAGAGTGTACACATAAACAAAAAAAATAAAA